TCGCTTCATTGTTTTAATTAAAGTGAGCTTTTTAATTATGGAAAGGATATTCTTATTGATTATCTTGGTCTTACGAGAACATATAAACCATAAATGAGATGCCTTGTACCTACTAGTTTAAAAAAAATGACTACTGTAATATACATAAGCAAATAAGATTTATTCAGATTTCTTTGCAGGGACCAAGCTGACTGTAAAGGATTATAAAAACCCTTATAAACTATTTAAACACATTCCACTTACATAGAAATGCAAATCTTGTAGGAGGAGAAATAAACTCAGATCAGAATTTATAGTACAATATACAGTGCAATAGAACTGATCAGAGTACAGTATCATGCAAACATTTTACGATGCCTTACAACAAAATAAATATTGAAATCAATATAGCTAGCCCACCAGCTAAATCAGTAAGGCTATGGCTACACTTGCAGACGCAGAGCGCCGGGAGTTAAACCAGCGCCGGGAGTTAAACCAGCCCTTAGAGACAGCAGCAGGGGAAGCGCTGCTGTGTGTTCACACTTGCTCCTTGTGACTGTGAAGCATGTTTACATTGGCAGCTCTTGCAATGCCACAGAGAGCAGTGCGTTGTGGTAGCTATCCCAGTGTGCAAGTGATGGCAGCATACTTTGGAAGGGGTTGCAATGCCTAATGGAGCAGGCACAGCATCACATGATGCAGGTTTCCCAATCCCATTGTTCCATGGGTATCCTATTAGATTGCCAACTGCTTTTCAAATGAGGGGGTGAGAAGTGTGAGAGGGAATATATTGGGTGTACATGTGGGGAGAGACAGTGTGTTTTGGGGGTCAGCATGCTGTCTTGTAAGTTCAGATAGCAGCTGGGGGAAACCCTGACATCAGCCCCCCCCCTCCCCCTCCCCACACACAAACACGCCTGCCTCGGCAGCAACAGCATTCCACAGTAATGGTTTGCTTAGTGTTCCGGAGCAGATAAGCAGCCAGCTGTCAGAAACGGAGCTTTGAAAGGGGATATCCCCATGCCTGCAGCCGAGTTCAAAACAATGACCAGAGTGGCTACTTGACTTCAGGGGATTATGGGACAATTCTGGAAGCCAATCACAGCTCAGTAATGCAACATGTTGTCCCCACTGACACCGTGGTGCTCCAGCCGGGATGCAGCAAGCTCTATGCTTCTCGTGAAGGTAGATTACCAGGAGCGCTCCAGCAGCAGAGTTCAGGCGCTCTAAATGCCTTGCCAGTGTGGACACCTCAGGAGTTATGGTGCCTGGGGCTGATTTAATGCACTCTAACTTGCAAGTGTAGCCAAGCCCTTTGACACCATTGAGTTTTGCATTTGAGACCACTAAGCAAGGAAGATTCCCTGAGAGCTTATGGAAGGGAATTCTAAATGATGGAAACATGGTGGATCACCATCTATGGCCTAGTCCTGGATTTGACAAGACTGAACCATAAAAAGTTAATTTCTCATGTTTATCCTAACTTTGAGGCTCCACTCTATACTTCTCCATGACCCTCTAATTAATAGAACATAAGAATGGCCATACTGGGTCAGACCAAAGCTCCGTTAAGCCCTGTATCCTGTCTTCTGACAGTGGCCAATGGCAGGTGCCCCAAGGGAATGAACAAACAGGTTATCATCAAGTGATCCATGCCCTGTCACCCACTCCCAGCTTCTGGCAAACAGAGGCTAAGGACACCATTCCTGCCCATCCTGGCTAATAGCCATTGATGGATTATCTTCCATGAATCTATCTAGCTCCCTTTTGAACCCCGTTACAGTATTGGCCTTCACAACATCCTCTGGCGAGGAGTTCCACAAGTTGACAGTGCATTGCTTGACTTCTGCCTCCTTCCTTGTAATTCGCCAATAGTCCCCTTGCACCTCCCTGTTCCCTGGGTTCCTTTAATGAGAATTTCCTTATCTGTAACCTTCCAATAGATCCTGAAGCAGCAGTCAAAAAAGCTAACAATGTTAGGATCCATTAGGAAAGGGACAGATGATAAGACAAAACATATTATAATGCCACTATATCATCCATAGTATGCCCACAATTTGAATACTGCGTGCAGTTCTGGTCACCCTATCTCATACAAGATATATTTGAATTGGAAAAGGTATAGAGAAGGGAAACAAAAATGATTAAGGGTATGAAACAGCTTCCATATGAGGAGAGATTAAAAAGACTGGAACTGTTCATCTTACAAAAAAAGACAACTAAGGGGGGGAATATGATAGAGGTCATGAATGGTGTGGAGAAAGTGAATAGGGAAGTGTTATTTACTCCTTCACATAACACACGACCCCGGAGTCGCCAATGAAATTAATAGGCAGCAGGTTTAAAACAAACATAAGGAAGTACTTTTTCACACAACGCACAGTCAATCAGAGGAACTCTTTCCCAGAGAATATTGTAAGGGCTAAAGCATAATTGGGTTCAAAAATGAATTAGATAAGTTCATGGAGGATAGGTCCATCAGTAGCTATTAGTCAAGTTGGTCAGGGGTACAACCCCATTCTCTGGGTGTACTGACTGCCAGAAGCTGGGAGTGGACAATAGGGTCACTTGATAAGTGCTCTGTCAGAGACAATGGGCTAGATGGACCATTGATCTGATCCAGTATGGCCTTTCTTATGTTCTTACATTACAGCAGTGTCTAAAGGTTCTAAATAGGTCAGATCCCCATTGTGTTAGCACTATACTAACACAAAGAGAACAATCTTTGTCCCAATGATCTTACACTTTAGATCCCACCAATTCATCCCAATAGGGTCTCCCTATCTTTGACCCCTCTTCTCGTCATCCTACATTTGAAGAGTCAGTCTTTTTTTTTTTTTTTTTTTGTCACTCCAGGGTGTACAGCACATTTTAGAATGCATACAATAGTTTCAATTTATTGAGGCCTAGGACAAGCAGAGAGAGAGAGATGCTGGATCCTACACTGGGAACTCCAAAGACACAGCAGTGCAAGAACAGGCCTACTGTATGGGATCTCAGGTTGGAAGAGGCGGGAGTTTGGGGTTTATCAGAGGTTCATGAGGTGGAAAGAAACTAGGCAGTGTTTAAAGGTAAAAGGGTGGTAACCGCATTCATGCTTGGAGTCAGAGGGCAGAAGAAGGGGGAATTAATTGAAATTGGAACCAGTCGAAACCTGAATAAATATTTAGAGTCAGCTGTTTGGGTAGGGTGAAGATTTGAGCAGGTTATAATTTCCCCCCCCCTCCATCCCTAGCCTTAGTTAAAAGAGGAATCTTTAAAATATAGATGGGCTATAAAGAGCTTATCCTGAGCAGGATTTATATGTGGGTAACGAGACTGTAATATCACATCACTGAGAGATCAGTGGAGTGAGTCAAAAGTCTACTGGAACAGTCATTGTAAAGAACGTGTGTGGGAGCAGCAACAACAGAATGCAGACAAGGCCAGCAGCATAAACAGTAGTGTGTACAGTAAATGAATGAAAGGCTCTGTGAAAACTGGTACTACTGTCCACAAATGAGAGCGAGCCAAGCTCAACCTGGTATTACTGTGCTTACCTAGTGCATTTACCAAAATTACCCAAAGGTATGCAAGAATGACAGCAATGGTATCCTATTCCATATTGCCCATAGTTTGCAACATGTAGATGCTAGTGTTAATTTTGCCTTAGATACAGTAGATGGGTAATATTAGCTCTTGATATGCAGTATTACATAAACGGCCCCATATTTGCTATAGAGACTACCTAGAATACAGCAAAAACTGAGGTAAAGTTCTTTAGTTGCTGAAGGCAATTCATCAGTTGTTAAAGGTGACCACTTGTACTAAATATAACCTTTGGCAAACAGGAATATGGATACGAATAGTCCTGTTGATTTCACTGGGACTACTCACAAAGGTGTTTGTGGGATCTGGCTTTACATTGCAATTTAGAGGCTTCCATATTTTTTTAAACAATTTAAGCCATCTGCGCTGGTGTAGTTTTACAAATATTGCAGTAGCTCTTACTTAAACAAGTGGGGCAAGATCGACATCTGTTGTAAATCAGTGGCATTCTAAAGCTTCAATGGTGCTACACCAGTTTATATCCCCTGATGATTTTGACCCATTAATTACCATCCCCCCCGCCGCCTTTTTGTATACTTCATATATCGTGGTATATAAAGAAACCAAAATCTCACCAATAAATTAAATGTGGTCTGAGTTGAGATGATGCCAACACTTCATTGCAAATGTATTAAATAAGGCCCCTGTCTGTAATTAGCTCTAAATGCTCTTTACAAGTTACATCAGCCGGTAACTGTATATAGCTTCAACAAGATAATCTTTAAAAACAGATAGAAAATCCTGATCGATAAAATATATTTACATTCAGGTACACCGCTTGGATACAAGCTGTACTTGGATACAGCTTCTCTGGAAATAGAGAGCCAAATTCGGTCTTGGCATAAGAGCATGCAACTTTCCTTTATCCTAGGGCTGAATTTGGCCCATAGGGTGGACAGTGAAAGAATTTGCAATGCCATTCTGAAATCCAAATGCTACAGAGAAAGAATGAGATGTCAGCATTCCCAAGGCAGTAATAGCAGGGGTCTTGATATATGCGCTCTAGATGTATTCGGGCTTGGACACAGCCTGCATTTCCTGCCCATCAGTTCGGTCTTTGAAAGTTCCCCCTAAGTTTCTTGCTCTTCTTTTCCTAAAGGAAATAAAAGGTAAAAATTAAAATATAAAAAAAATAGAATTATCTACACACAATTGGTAACGTTTAAAAATTGTATTTATGTCCCCCCTCCCTTTTATTTTATTTATTTCAATTTTTTTTAAGGGAAGAAGAATAGGTGATATACAGCAGCTACTGCAATAACGAAGCAGTACCCAAAAAAAGGACGGCAGAGGATGTTGCTGAAGATGCAGTAGATAAGGGGATTAACGGCACTGTTTAAAGATGGTAGATTTTGAATAATCACAGATGCATAGAAGCGTGTTTTGGTCTGAGGGAGTACATTGAAGTTGTCCAGGATATCAAAGAGAAAGTAAGGACTCCAGCAGAGAACAAATGCTGCAAAAGAGAGAGGGAGATTTAAAATGCTGAAGTTAGATGGGGTGAGTATTTAAGAAGATTACCATAAAACAGATTGGCCACATATATGTTTGCTTACGCAAGAGTCTCTCTCCCTATTAAAAAGTCCTAGTTAAGGGATTAGTTATTAGATCTTCATATATCTGCTCCTTTATTTTAATTGTAATAACCATAAAATATTGTGATTCTTCCAGTAAGTGTATTCATAAAGTGGTCCCCCAGACACATCTAGGCATTATGAGAGAACTAGACAACTGAAATATAATCATAAGGATAAATAGCCAATTAAAACATCATCAAATACAGTGAATGGCTGCGCTAATGGTCCCCTGTGCGAACAGCCAGTGTAAATTCAGTCACCGCAAAACTAACGCCATGTTAACTGCACTATGTTTACAAGATGCACGTAGGGTAAGAGACAAGACTCTCTTTTGCACTCTCACTCCAAACCACAGCAGACTCACTGTGATTCTTCACAGTGGCTGGAGGGTGCTACAGAATGAATGCATGGGAGTACTCTGTGCCAGTTCAGCATAGGCCACCCCTGAAAGCAGGATTTGGAGAAGAAGAGGGAGGGTTGCAATAATGTAACATGCATGGTTGACGGTACCCCTATTCCAGTCCAGAGCTGTCATAGCAGATATTAACAGGCTACAGAATTACCTCTTGCCTTGCCCGCAGGATGGATTCTGTCCTACCCAGCCCTCATGTAGTGCCCCCCACACAAAGTGTGTTGAGTCAAGATTTATGGGGAGCCATTGGAATGGGGGAATTCACCCCTACAGAATATCACTCATTGGCTGTGAATGCATGTCTAGCTGTGGGCTCAGAAAAGATCATGCTGCCCGATGTCCAGGAATACTTCAAAACAAAACAATGTTATTTCAGGCAAGCGCTACACTATAAACGTACATTGGTATAACTCAGTCACTATGGGGTGTGAAAAATCTACGCTACAACAGCACTAAGTCAACAGGAGACCTTCTCCCATCGACATAGCTACTGCCTCTCACGGAGGTGGATTAACTACACTGAAGAGCCTCTCATTGGCGTAGCAGTGTCTTCTCTGAAATGCTATAGAGGCATAGGTGCACTGGTGCAGCTGTGCCGCTGCACTGTTTGAAGCATAGACCTGCCCTCAAATGCATATCCTGAGCTTACATTTTGCCACCTTTGAATGTTGTTGTATTTCTCAGCTGACACTTGTCTGAGCACATTCAAGATATGCAAGGAATGTGCAAACTGCTTTCCTTTTTATATATATATATATATATATGCCAGGTATTAACCTCCAATTCCCCAACATCCAGTGAAGTACAAAGCACAGGCACTGGCTTCCTCCGGGGCCTGGGGGAGCTCAACCCCCCGTTCTGCCAGTGGGTGCACTTGGTCTAGGCCGGTGGGTGCACCCATGGAGTCGACGCCTATGGTACAAAGGGATTTATGTACCTCTCTTGCTGAGTCTCCTTTGAAAATCCCAATCAGATATTTTTAATGAGCATAAGCTTCAACATTCAATAAGGTTAGCAGCTGTTATGGACAGCCTTGTAGAGGCAGTAGACTGTAACAAAGGCTTTCTTTTATTGCCACCAGGGCCGGCTCCAGCATTTCTGCTGCCCCAAGCAAAAAAAAAGCTGCGATCATGATCAGCGGCGGCAATTGGAAAAAAAAAAAAGCCATGATTGGCACGGCAGTTCAGCGCCAGGTCCTTTGCTCCTAGAGGGAGTGAGGGACCTGCCGCCCCCGAATTGCCGCAGGTGCCGCCCCTCTCCCTTGGCTGCCCCAAGCACCTGCTTGTTAAGCTGGTGCCTGGAGCCGGCCCTGATTGCCACACAGATGAGTTTAAAAAAAATAGCTGTGATTCTGTTCTTGTGAATAGCATGATTCAGACAAATGTTTTTGGTATTTGCAAATGCTAGCACTAAACAATGAAACAAGCAACTACAGTATAGTTTTTTCCACAAAATATGTCAGTATAAATGCTGTGCTTGAAGAGAAAGGGTATGTGCATCTCTGAGTATGCTACCATGAAAATACCCATCTGTAGATGCAGGCGTGGGTGTCAGCTGTATAAGTAAATGGCTACAATTGTCTTCCTGTGTAGCACTACCAGCTAATCTCAAGCCCTGGGTGCTGCAGCCTTTATTTATCTCCATACAGTGTCAGCATCATCATTCCACTAGTATAATTTTGTTTCCCTAGGAAATGAATGCAGAATGACACCTGCACCAAGACCTCCGCTATGCAGTGAGGTAGGGAAAGCTCACTGTTCCCATTTGGGCAATCAGCATGCTTCTAGCATTGAATCAGAGTGCTAAACTTTTCTCTCTTCACCCCCTGCTTCCCAGATGTCTTCACTTCTTAGTCACAGCAGATAGAACAGTAGAAAATGAAGTCGAAGTACAGTGGTTTTCACAGTGTCTTTTTATGCATGAATTGTGTATGCCTCACATATTAATCAGGAACACGGTGGGGTGTAAATATCTCCAAACGAGGTCTCAAACCAGACGATGTCAACCATTTAATCTTCCAATGTGCTTGTTAATTTAAATGGTAATACATAAATCCGACATTCACTCATGAAGAACAAAAGACTTCAGCACAAGCAAGGATTGTGGAAGGCTCTGAACGCAGGTGCCACCAGCAGAGTTCCATTGTTCAGGAAGTGGGGAAGTAGATGATTGCACACTACAGAGCAGAACTCTGAGAGAACCATGTAGGTCTATGCAGAGAGAGATGGGGGCAGATCAGATAAATGAGAAGAGTTGTATCCAATGGAGCCACAACCATACACATCCATCAACTACCTCCATTATTAAACATTCACAGAGTTCTTTTTAAATGACTGAGGGTAAGGAGAGACAAGGTGGGTGAGGTAATATTTTTTTATTAGACCAACTTCTGTTGGTGAGAGAGAGAGACAAGCTTTTGAACTTACACAAAGCTGTTTTTCCAGTTTGGGAAACTTAATCAGAGTGTCATAGCTCAATACAATATGGAACGGATTGTTTAGCCTAAGTAGTTAACACATATTTCAAGGAACCATTCAAGGTGAAGTGGCCTGTTCACATCCCTACAGTCATAGGGAGGAAAGGGTTGGATGGGTGGAAAGTTGTTAGTGGGTTACAAATTATTATAATAAGCCATAAACCCAGTATCTATCTATTCAGTCCCTGATTTTTAGTGTCTAGCAAAGTTACGAATTTAAGCTCCCAGGCTTGTCTTTTGAAAGCGTTGTGCAGGTTTCCTTTGAGGATGAGGTCAGATGATACTTTGATAAAGTGGAAAATCTCATTCTAAAAAGGAGTTGAACTTATCAGAGAGATCAAAACTCAGTATGTTTCCACTACATCACCTTTGGGAAAAGTCATCCTCTGGGCTCTACCCTTAAAGTGCTAGTTAAAATCCTTCCTTTGCAAATGAGTCCATGTGGAACTTTCATTCTAACATCTAGCTCTGTGGGCCTGCCGACAGCAATTCCGGGCCCCTGGGCAGAGCAGTCAGTGTCCGCCTGACATTTGGGGGGGGGGTGCTGCTGCGCCTGCACTGGCTGGTGCCCAGCGAGCTGCCAGTTGCACTGCTGGGCATACTCTTCCGGCACGGCCAGGGCTTCCACATGTGCCCCCCGGTAGCGTTGCCAACTGTCTAATCGCACAAACCCAAAGACCTGTCTAATCGCGCAAAGACCATGCCCCTGTCCTGCCCCTTCTCTGAGGCCCCACCCCCTGCTCATTCCATCCCCCCTCCCTGCTTTGCTCACTTTCCCCCACCCTCACTCACTTTCACCAGGCTGGGCTAGGGGGTTGGGGTGTGGGAGGGGGTGCGGGGTGCAGGCCCTGGGAGGGAGTTTAGGTGTGGGAGGGAGTGCAGGGTCAGGCTTGGGAGGGAGTTTGAGCGTGGGTGTGGAGTGCGGGCTGTTGGCTGGAACAGGGAGTTGGGGTGCAGGAGGGGGTCAGTGCTTACCTCGGGCAGCTCACGAAAGCAACCGGCACACCCCTTTGGCAGCGGCTCCTAGGCAGGGGGCCCGGGGGTCTCTGCATGCCACTGCCCATAGGCACCGCCCCTCCCCCCCCCCCACAGCTCCCATTGGTCGCAGTTCCTGGACAATGGGAGCTGCAGAGTTGGCGCTCAAGTCAGGGCAACGCACGGAGACCCCCTTCCAGGGGCTGCAGGGACATGCCAGCTACTCTGGGAATGGTGCGGAGCGAGGGCAGGCAGGAAGCCTGCCTTAGCCCCGCTGCACTGCCGGTGGTGGGGCCTAGGGGTGCCCAGGCCCTTTTAAATTCCCCGGACCCCTGGGCAATTGCCCCCTTTGCCCCCCTCTCGTCACTGGGCCTGTCTGTGTGGCTATGTTTGCACAAGTCTTAGCTCTCATTTAACTCCTGAAAGAGAGTAGAGTTCCTCTTTCTCCTTTTCAGTGCTATGCCAGCAGGGATGATCTCGTTGCCAGTCCCCTTTTATACCTCTCTCCTAATTTATCTGTGAATTAATTAAGGATCAGATTCTGCTTGCTTTTCTTGTACTGGGTAGTACCTCACACCCCAAGCTGTCTCATTAAATGTGAATGGAATATATATAGTGAGTGTGCTCACGTGTATATAACATATCTACAGGAGTTGGATTTATACAAAAATACATATATTTAAAAATATAATTACAATCGTTACATAATTGTGAGTATAGGATGAGAAACTAGACAGGGATGTGATATAAGTGGTATAGAGAAGGCATTTGCCATAAAAATGATTATTTGTCTCTCTCTGGGTAAACAATTATTTGGCTCTCTCAGGTGTGGTAAATATTGAGGTGTAATGTAATAATACTTAGTTCTTATATGGATCATTTTGCCAATTCAAATTGAGCTCAGCTCAGTCAAGTCCAATAACTGTTACCATCTGATGGCTGATGGATGGTCTAATGGGAAATGAGATGGTGCTCTTATTTCAAACGACATTGAAGAAGTGTGCACGTCAGAAAAAAGAAAAAAAATCCACTACAAACCTACACCCACATCCACAGCGGATGCTAACTGGAACTCCTGAATAATTGCAGCCTAAAAGGTCGTTTTCTGGGAGAGCTGTAAGCAACTGAAAAGGAGGTTTAGTAATTAAATGCCGTCTTTACCTATTGCTACTGTGGCACCATAGTCAGCCCTGAAGAGGATCTGGAATTATTCCGCTGAATGTTATGGACATAATGAGCTCAATTAACCAGTGACTACTGGAGTTGCTGCTGTTCCTGTTGAAGTCAGGGACACTTTGGGACTCATCTACAGCTGATGTAACCTGTTTTGTTCCACTGAAGTCAATGGTGCTACATCAGCTTATTTCAGCTGAGGATTTGGCCCTTACAGGGGTGCTGGAGCAATGTGTATAATGGGGGTGCTGAAAGCCATTGAACCAAAGTGTAAACCCTATATATGATGGAAACCGCTTCAAGCCAGGGGGTGCAACAGCACCCCTACATCCTGCACTATGGGCCCTTGTCTTCAAGGGGTGAATGTTTAGACCTGTAAGGGTGGAAACTAGTTTGGGTTAGGGACCTGTATTTTATTTGTCCATAAAGCACAATGAAGACACATGCCATTGTGGAAGTAATAATACACATACACTGGACAAATACAATTCCAAGTTAAAGTCATTCACAATTAAACATTTTCTAAATATCTTTACTATTTGCTGATGAACCATTTATATTGTCTATAGCAAAAAGAGCAGTTCTTCCATAAATACATTGTAACAAAAATTCTGGAATACAGTCAGTCAAATCCCTCTCTTATCTATACCAGCTCTTTTCATTCTCTTTACCTATATAGCTACCGACTGTATGGTTTTCACTTACCAAGAATAATTACAATGCTGTACTTGATAGCTTTAACTTTAGCCTTTGATATGATCCCTCGATGGGTGTAGCTGGCACAGAATTTGCCATCTGGGGAAATAAGAGGGAGAAAGGTTAAATGCAGGACTTCCGATTAACTAGCAGGAAATGCAGGGATCAATGGAGTTATAGAATCGGGCCAACCTTCCACTAATTGAAATCAACATCCATCAGATGCTCAGCACTAGAACTGGATGGGAATCTTCTGAAAAACATTTTTAATTTTCAAAAATGCTGATTCATCAAAACCAAAACTTCCCAGGAAAGGATCAGAGATGTGATGGATTTTCCTATTTGAAACTTTTTTGGACAAAAGTTTCAAAATTATCAGTCACCATTTTGACATTTTTGAAATGTTAAGTGTTGTTTTCTGGTTCAAAATGAGTTTTCATCTTGAAAATTTAATTAATTTATACTAAAAAAAAGTTTAAAAATAAAAAAGGTCAAAAATTAAACAAAACATTTCAGAATTATCAAAATGAAATATTTAGGTTGACCCAATCTGTATATTTTTTTCTTTGGATTATTAGGTTTTTTTTATACATTCAAAAAAATGTTCATTGAGATTTTGACTTTTTGTACTGATTTTTGGGGCAGGTACATCTCAGGCAGGTACATCCCAGGTACATCTGAGCCACCCAAAATCACTAGTCACTTTTGAAAATCTTGGCCCTGGTAGCCACTTACCCAGCAACAACAATACTACTTTACATGCGATATTTTGTGAAAGGTGTTAGAAATTGTCATCAAAAAAAGACCTTGAAAAATACAATTACTATTAATTTCTTAAATGCATTTTATTAAGAAGAATTTTAAAAAGCTCTGTTCTCAGTTCCCTTAAATAATCCTTTTCTCTTTTTTATCCATTAGGTAATCAATCATACATTTTCCCTTATTCATGTTTGTTTAATAATAATTAAAAAGGACTTTTGTTGAACAGCTTCTCAGAAATGAAATGTTCCTTGAATTTAGAAGCCATGAACCTGACTCTCGTCTCAGTTACAGTGGTGCAAATCAGGTGCAACTCTGTGGAAAACACACTACGGTAACTGAGAGGAAAATCAAGAGCTATAATTGAATGACACCAGAGTAATTACTATAATATACATGATTTCTCTGTGATTATCCATTTTTCTTTTGTCACTGTTGTGATGTCACAGGATTTGAACCCAGCCTGAGGCCCCCCCAGGCAGCTTCTACATCCTGGCCTACACCCAGGGTCTGCTGAAACTGGTTGGAATAAGAAGCTAGTACGACTATAGCCTCAGCCAAGGCTCCGCCCACAGGAGCCTTGATTGGTGGATTGCCCGGCTGCACTGGTTGGTCCAACCACGCTATTTAGGCCAGAAGATGGGACAGGAAGTTTCTCTCAGCTACAAGGTGATTTCTTGTTGTAGCTGCATTCAACCCTGCTTGTTCTCCTGCACCGAACCTTGTTCATGATTTTTGCTCTGTTCCTGCCTCACTCCTGCCTTTGGTCCTGTTCCCACTGTGTTCCTGCTCCATGCTTGGTTGTTATCTCTTCTCCATTTCCTGCCCTTATGTCTCATCTCCAATCACCAGTTACCATTCCTGGCTTTGATCCTGGCCTCCAACTGCTGACTCAGACTCTGGCTTAAATGTTGGTTTTGGCATTTAGTCTAACCCAGACTCCGCTCTGACCTTCAGCTTTGATTCCTGGTTCTGACTCTGACTTGACCCCTGGCTGTGGTGATTGGCAGTTGACTCTAGTGCAGACCCTTGGCTTCATTCTCCAACCTGGATGCCTGCTGTGCCCACTACACTTGACTCCGGCTCTGACTACTAGCCCAGACCAGCTACAGCCTGGTCCATGCCAACTCTAAGGTAAAATTAGTTACATTCAATATAATAAACACATTTTGGGATCATATTTATTAACTGACCTCTTGTCTTGTGTAGCCTCAGCTTAGAAGTGAAACTTTAATGATCTCTTTGGTAATGGGAGACTGTGTATATTAATGTCTTCTGCACATTTTACAGCAAGAGCTTGTTGAGGCTACATAATTGGTGTAACTGGTAAAAAGGATCAAGATGGCTTTGTAGCCAGTGAAAGATCCCATCTGGAAGTTGAACTAGCTCATATTAATGTTAATGGGAGTTAAGGACTAGCCCAAAAAGGAGACTATACCTCTTAGATGAGAAGATGGATTTATCTTTCCAGGCTACCTGAGCCTTGTTACATTATGAATTTGGGGTAGCTGGAAATCTAAACCAGCCCTGCTCAGACTTGCTGAGGGGAGGGACACCTTTGCAAATTTTGTGATTGGTAGGTTTGATAATTATGATGCAATGTTGATTGTGGAAGCATCATCATGTCATGATTCTAACCCATAAGTGTTCATTGCTCCTGTATAAATGGGCAAACTTCTGTATATTTATATATTCAAGTTTGCATAGCTGAATGTACCTGATTTATGCATGTCAGTGTGGGATCTGCTAGCATTAAAAAGGTGTGTGCAAATTTTGGATGCATAATTTTATTATTGGTAACCTAGAGTGTGCACATCAGAGTGGTATAATAATAAAATCCCCCTCCCATCCAGGCATTCAGATTATGTTACAATTAGTAATAAAATATAATTACAAACAATTTGAAATATGAGTTGAAGGTAAATATCCAGAAACAGCAATGGCCTATGTGTAATTGGAACTGCAATTCAGGTGGTGTCACTGACTACACATTTTTGGTTTTATTAAATCATAGCTCTCCTTCCTATCTCAGTACTGTGGTTCTACTTAAGCTTCAGGGTTAATTGATTATTTCATAGCATGTACTGTTGTGAGTAGGGGAATGAGTAAGATGGTGACAGCTAGTGAGTAGGAAACATCCAATGGCTGGTAGTTTGGGTTCAGAGCAAATAGCTTCCCAAAAACTCTCACTTTTCCAAATCACATCAGAACAGTCTGAGCCTCTTTGGCCTACAGAATAGGGATAGAAACCCCAGGAGAACATGTCTCTGTGACTTTTGCATTTGGGTATTTCTGATGCTGACTGGAATCCAGAAATGCAAAGGCATATCAAAATGTAGCAGAAGTATTGTAAAAAAGGGTTGGTTCTAGGCATGGAAGCTTTAGAGGGAATAAGGGATCTCACTTTTTTCTCATCATCTATCCTCTGTGAAAATGGGCTCTCTGTCCAAGGAAAGAGGAAATTGTTCACAACTCATTTCTAACCTATTTGTGCAAACAGCCATTAAAAGAAAATAATTCCTTCAATAATAATAATTAGACATTGGGACCATACCAAGTCTGAGTTCAGATACTCTCAAACTTAAGGGGATCAAAAGTTAGAAGATCCACATCAGAATTTTATGGCTTTGGCCCATCTCTAAAGTCTAGACTCACCAGTACAGTTGGAAATAATCGCAGCATGAGGTTTACTCTTCATCCATATGGTTCGAATCACAATGAAGTAAATGACACTACAGGTGGGGAGAGAAGAGGAAAATAAAATAATCTTTGAGACTATGAGGTGCAGTGAACTTAACTAAGGCCCTGGGGTCCTGCAATGACCTCTGCACCTACAGAGAGCTCTGGTTGTTTGGAGCTAATTGCAGGATCTGAATTTGATACTTAGCTCTTATCAGGAGATCTCAAAGTGCTTTACAAGAGAGGTAAGTATCAGTATCCCCATTTTATAGATGGGGGGGGGGAGGGTCAGGGAGGAGAACCAAGGCACAAAGTTGAAGTGATTTGCCTGAGGTCACAGAGCAGATCAGTGGTGGAACTGAGGATAGATCCCACTTCTCCTGAGTTCCTGGCCAGTGTCTTGTTCATTGTCTCATGTTTAGGGAAGGACTCAGTACAAAAATGTCACTTTGCCTATGAATTCTCATAGACTTTAAGGCCAGAAGGGACCATCATGATTATCTAGTCTGACCTCCTGCACATTGCAGGCCACAGAACCTTGCCTACCCACTCCTGAAATAGACCCATAACCTCTGGCTGAGTTACTGAAATCCTCAAGTCATGGTTTAAAGACTTCAGTTTACACTAGTTTAAACCTGCAAGTGACTACTCCTGAGGGAATTCTGTGCCCAAAATTAAAAATTCTGCACCAAAAAATTAAAAGTTCTGCACATATCTCAAAATTCTGTAAATTTTATTTGTCAAATAAATGTGGAGACTCCAGCATGGCATTAGGGAGCACAGGCTACTGGCTGCACAGAGATGGGAGATCACTTTGCAGCTCCCCCCGGGACATGGACTCAATGGTGAGGTTACACCCAACCCTGATACAGCGCAAGGACTGGGCCTGCCCCAGAAACATACCAGGGCCCTGCCTCTCCATGCCAGGTGCACCAGGTGTGGGCAGGCAGGCTCAGCCCAGGAGGATCCAAGTGTGGCGGGGAGCCAGGTGTGGGTTGAGAGGGTTCTGTGTGGGGTAACGTGAGTGTGGATGGCTCAGTGGGGGATCTGGATGCACAGGGGCTTGTTGGGGGGGTTTTGCATGCAACAGTAATGGGACTCTGCGGCGGGGGGGGTCCAGATGAAAGTGGTTGGGGCTCAGTGGAAGGGGGGTTCTGGGTGCAGGGGGGATAGAGCTCAGCAGGGGGGCCTGGGTATGGGAGGTTCAGTGTGTGGGGGGGTCCAGATGCTGGGGGAGTGGGGCTTGGCAGCGGGGCTTCTGGGTATAGGGGGTGAGGCTTGGCAGGAGGCTTTGCATATGAGGGGTCTGGCTGCATGGCAGTTAGGTGGATGGGGGAGCAGCTCCCTGTACAGTGATACTTCCTCCTGCAGCTGAGGAGTAATGGGCGCAGGAAGTGGGGGGGGGGCGTGCAGAGCTTCTTGTAGCCTGGGGAAAAATCTGGGGTGGGTCTGACCCAGCCCCGGATGCTGTGCAGGGGGAGAGGAAGTCCTGTCTTGCCCAGCCGGGACTAGCAGCTAAGCCCGGTGCAGGGTAGGAACCACCAGCTGGGTCTTCACCAGTCTCATCCCCTGCCCCATAGTGATTTACCACTCTGCCAGCTGCCCTGGGCACCCAAAACATACTGCTGGGGAGGGTCACATGACTACTCTTGTGGCTTCCCTTTGCTTCTTCATCAAAATGATTTTTCTGTGGGGAAGCAAAAAAATCTGCACGGGATATGAATTCTGTGCATGAGCAGTGGCGCAGAATTCCCCCATGAGTAAAGTGACCCATGCCCCAAGCTGTGGAGAAAACCCCCCCAGGGTTTCTGCCAATCTGACACAGGGGAAGATTCCTTATTGACCCCAAATATGGCGTTCAGTCAGACCCTGAGCATATGAGCAAGACCCACCAGACAGATACCTGGGAAAGAATTCTCTGTAGTAACTCAGAGCCCTCCCGATCTAATATCCTGTCTCCAGCCATTGGGAATTTTTGCTACTGGCAGTCGCCAATGGGTCACATGCATAGGCAGTCCCATCAGACCATGCTCTCCATAAACTCATCAAGCTCAGTCTTGAAGCCAGTTAGGTTCCCCCTCCCCCCCCCTTGGAGGTCTGTTCCAGAATGTCACTCTTCTGATGGGTAGAAACAGTCATCTAATTTCAAGCCTAAACTTGTTGATGGCCAATTTATATCCATTTATTCATGTGTTCACATTGGCACTTAACTTAAATAACTCCTCTCCCTCCCCGGTATTTATCCCTCTGTATTTATAGACAGCAATCATGTCTCCCCTTAGCCTTTGTTTGGTTAGGCTAAACAAGCCAACCCCTTTGAGCCTCCTCTCATAAGGTAGGTTTTCCATTCTGCGGATCATCCTAGGAGCCCTTCTCTGCACCTGTTCCAGTTTGAATTAATCTTTCTTAAACATGGGAGACCAGGATTGCACGCAGTATTCCAGATGAGGTCTCACTAGTGCCTTGTATAATGGTACTAACATTTCCCTGTCTTTACTGGAAATACCTCGCCTAATGCATCCTGGGACTGCATTAACCTTTTTTATGGCCCCATCATATTGATGGCCCAAAGTCATCCTGTGATCAACCAATACACTCAGGTCTTCCTCCTCCTCTGTCACTTTCAACTGATTAGACAACAAACCAAGATAATTGGAGAGATCTACTTTGAAGTCTGCTTATCTGTTTTCATAATGGCAATTCATAGTCATTCATAGTCTTTGGGCTAGGAAGGAGTTTGAGAATGACTCTACCCTGGTGGGGTTAGCACACTCACTTAGGATGTGGGAGACCCAGATTCCAGTCCCCCTATTCCATTGACTGTTTATAAAATATGGAACTGCTTCAACAGGAGAGGCTGAGCCAGTTCTGCCCCCCAAATACCCATAGATCAGTGAATAGGGCACTCTCCTACAATGGGGGAAGAACCAAGTTCTAATCCCTGCTCCATCTCAGGCAGAGGAGGGCATTGAATCCTGGTCTCCTACCTCCCAGTTGAGTACTCTCATCACTTGGCTAAAGGGTTCTAATGGTGGCTGCTGCCAACAGACAATTCATGGAGAGTTTAAGGTCAAACAACAGTGAATTCTTTGTGAATAAAATATTTTTCCAGAACACTTGCCCCATTCTGTATACAAGTGAGATCCTGTGCTGCACCTCGGAGAGCAGCACAAAGTTGCAGTCTATGGCTTTAAACCAACTCTGCACCCTCCCAATCATGGGCTGCGCCAACCATCAGAGAGGACCTTGGTGTAACTTAGACAGCACTGGAGACATATCTAGGTAATAGCAGCCTCCTCAGGCTACCCTCTGGGCTCCAGTGCTGCTCAGAAGCTCTGAAATGCTGTGTGCTGGGGTCCCACCCTTGCATGCCTCTCTTATCCCCTCATTGTTCCCTGGTATCCGCCCCTATGCGCACACACAAGGGGTTGCCAGAAGGTCCTCAGGAGACATCCTTCTGGCAGGCTTTAACAGTGGCTGCTCTGGAGGAATCCTCCTCCATCTTTCAGGGCTCTTTTATGTTGCTCTAGTTTTTACCCATTTAAAGGGGCCTGAGAGGATGTGTGAGGAACCGAATAATTCAAGTGGTAAAATATAAGATGAAACATCCCCTCTGTGCTTCTTTTAGTTGAAGGAATTGGACCTGGCCAGGGGTCAGCAACGGGTCTGTACACGGACACAAGTGTCCACGGTAAAAATTTTGAGGTCCGTGGGGGGTACTCACGGGCGGCTCCCCGCAAGTGGCTCCCCGTCCCTGTTGTTGCTGGCAGAGGTGCAGCCAGGCAGCTATGCATGCTACCTCCGTCCCCCTTTCCTCCCCGAGTGCTGACTCAGCTGCTCCCAGCCCATTGGCCGGGAACTGCGGCCAATGGGAGCTGCCGAGGGTGGTGCCTACAGATGGATGTAGCATGCCTGAAGAGCTGTCTGGCTGCACCTCCGCCAGCAACAGTAGGGGCGGGGAGCCGCCTGAGATGAGCCTCCCTGCAAGCAACTCCCCGTCCCTGCTGTTGCTGGCGGAGGCGCAGCAAGGCGGCTCTGTAATCTGCACGTTGCCTCCGTCCCCTCCTCCCCGAGTGCTGACTCCGCAGTTCCCAGCCCATTGGCCGGGAACCATGGCTAATGGGAGCTGCAGGGGCAGCGCCTGTGGGCGGGGCAGCACGCAGAGCTGCCTGGCCATGCCTCCACGTAGGAGCCGGGGGGAGGACATGCCCCTGCTGCCGGGAGCTGCTTGAGGTAAGTGCTGCCCACGCCCTCACCCATGCCCCAACCCTCTGCCCCAGCCCTGATCCCCCTCCTGTCCTCCAAATCCTCGGTTCCAGTCTGGAGCCCCCTCCTGCACCCAAATCCCTCATCTCTGGCCCCACACCAGAGCCTGCACCGGAGCCCTCACACCCTGACCCCTGAATCCCAACCCCCTGCTCCAGCCCGAAGTCCCCTCCTTCACCCTGAACCCCTCATTTCTGGCCCCACTCCGGAACACACACCCCCAGCCCAGAGCCCATACCCACTCCCACAACCCAACCCCCTGCCTCAGCCCGGAGCCCTCTCCCTCCCCCTGCCAATGTCCATCACTAAGTCCAGTAATTTTGTCAAGTGTCCATCACACAACATGGTGGTTCTGACCCCTGCCTGTAACTGCACCTTCCTGGGATAAGTCCCAGTTGGAAGGATATGAGAGAGAAGAAAAGCAGGTATATGGTTGTTTCCATTCCAGGACCTGATCATGCACCCATTAGACAACAATTATACAGCTTCAGAAGCAGTTGCAGCTGCAGTCCCTGACACACATACATACTTCCTGTTTCCTCTTAGCTTTTCTAAACTCAAAGACTACAACTCCCAGCATGGGATCTGGATCTAACAACTCCACAGTGAACTAGGCTGAAACTTGGGACTGTTTTTAGTAGCTTTATAGAGATCAAGAAGTGTCTTTCACTCCTATCTTTCTATCATACGACTTCATTAATAATAAATAACCATTTCTTTTATAAGTCATCTTAATTTGAACTCACTTTCAGGTAGAGCTCGGAGAACAGTGCAAGAGGCTTTTCTG